TGGGAATAAGTTATTAATTTGACATAGTCGAATCAATGGTGATTATTTCCTAGTAATCAATAGGGATAAACATGTGTGCTAAGGAAGACAATTTTTCAAAGCTTTAAAATTTGCATTCTTATAGCAGAATTTATTTTATAGAGGGTGAAAAGCACAAAGAATTACTTATTTTACTATACCAAATACTATTTTATTTCATAGTTTATATCACAAACTCTTGTCTAAACCACTAGTAAAAACCAGAGTTCACTGGGTATTTGTCACTTCTTGCTATGGTATTTGTCAGTAATACTCATCTATGACCTTAACACTATGAACGAACAGAGGATTTTCGATTATGAGTGAGAACGGATAACCTTTAGACCATTAAACCATCATCCATTAGAGTTCACTTCCACTTGTAACTCTTCCAGAGTTAGTGCGGGTCCCTAGCCTGAGTAAAGGAGGAGTGTTAGGCATGGGATTAGCGACCCCATCCCTTAGAAAACTAACTCGCTGAAAAAACACTAGCCAGAAAACACTAACCTGTAGAGTTCATGTCTACGTAGGTACATCCAGCTAACGAGTCGCAATAGGGCAAAACGAACGTTCTGGATTCCATGGCTATTCAATATTCATCTTTACTTATAAAGCTTGTGAATCAATGCAATATCGAGGCAATGCTCACTGTATGCATATATGTCAATAAGTGATTGATCAACTGCCGTCCTAAATATCAATGGGAAGATTCAAGTAAACAATGCCAAGTGTATTTAACTACTAGTTAGTAGTTAGAAAATATATCTCAAATAAATTTGTAAACTACTGGTTAGTGGAACGAAGGGTTAATTTACTGTTAAAATGAAGTTAACCACATGAATCTTGCGGACTTATGTAACGCACGATCTTTGGTAGATTTGAAAACACGACATTGAATGATATAATCAGTGATGTGATCTTTGAGATTAGACGAAGCGTATTGTTAGAGTGGATAACGCTTAGTTCGAGTAAACTTGCGAATTGTGAAGAATTACCAGTCACCAAATAAAATATAAGTTTGAAATGATCGTCCAATACTAATATCATGTAAAGTAACATGAAAGGCTAAACAGAATAAGATGCCGATAATCTCTTATTGTTATAACTATCTAGTTTGCAAGACTTCTTCATCTAGCATTAATAAGCGAACAAGTTTAAAATCTATGTAACTAGAATAATATATTTAACAAATCCATCTGAAAATAGGGTGAATTATTAGAATGGGGATTTGTGGAGATTTTAGTTAATCGATGTAAGCTAAACTACCACTGAAAACCTGGTAGCACTGGACTGCCGATTCGTCTTTTTATGTGCATTCACGATGCCACACCAATGTGATTCAAATCCAGAACCTTCAGTCTCACACGCGAACACTTAAACCCTAGAACACTGATCCGGCATCAAATCGTGTTGATTTCTAACTCAAATTGACCCATAGTCTGAGGCAGATAACTGCCTGTACTCGACACGGATTGAACAATGGATGGCTGTTTTCGCGAAATCATGGGTCGACTAAAGTTGGATATTAACACTGTTGGGTGTCGGTCCAGAGGTCGAGATGCTAAGTGTTTTTGCGTGAAACTGAAGGTTATGGGTTCGAGTCCTCTTGGTAAGGGATCAGAAATGCAAATTACTGAAGAATTCAATACTGAGAGGAATCAGCAATATAGTGCTTTCAGGTTTTCAGTGGTGGTCTAGCTTACATCGAATCATGAATTCAACCATCATACTAAGTTAACTCTTTTGAATTTAATCTATTAAATTTTAGAAAAAAAGAAAATGTCTATAAAGAGAATTAGTTTAGATATTACTGCAATCATTGTATATGCTGTTATTCTAATAATGTTAAAAAAAGTTATTAATGATTTTGGTCATTCAACAAATAAAGTCTTCAAATGATTCATTAATTTAAATACTTACGCCTATTACCTCCAATAAAGCACAGGACGCCGACCACCACTCTCAAACACACTCTGTCTTGGGACTTCAATTCTAGTTCCAGCCAAGTGTTGTTCATTCTTCTCATGTCTATCACCTTAACAAGTGAATGTGTGACCAGACAGTTAGAAGTATATTCAGCTTACATATCACATGAGTGAAAATAGCATGATCTTGTATTTTCTTAAATTCTGATGTAAACTAAATTAGAATTCATAAAAATTTGGAAGACAAAACTCATTTAATGTTGCTAATTAAAAGACCATTTTAGTTTTTCTTTATTTCAAGATGGTATTTTGGAAATTGTAATCATTAATTGTGCATGAATTGACTTACTGATTAACTAAAGTTGAAGGCCATTAAACTTATTTAAACTATGTCTATAAATCGTATGTTTAAGCGTTGAGTTAAGAAGTAATAATGCACTATCTGGTATCTGAATATTTTTAAATAATAATTTGAATACAACAGAATTATAGATCGATAATGAGTGCTAATTTCTTAACAATAACAACAATTTATTTAACAAATATGGTTGAAGTCGATTGATTACGGCTACTTACTACAAGTTTTGGAAATCTATCTTGACTAGTGATTGACTACAAGATAGATTTTCGAGAGTTCTAGTGAGAATCCATGAGCAGTGGAGTTGAAGTAGTTATTCACTGATGACAATTTGGTGGTGGATTGGTTGAAGTTAGACATTAACACCGTTGGGTGTCGGCTCAGTGATCTAGATGTTCAGTGTTCGCTTGCGAGACTGATGGTCTTGGGTTCGAGTCCGTTTGGTGTGGGATCGCGGATGAGCACTGCTGATGGGTTCAATAATGGCACGAAACAGCCGTCCGAGTGCTACCAGGCTTTCAATGGTTGTCCAGTTTTCATGATATCAATCTAAACTCAGCAATTAGTGCAGCGTTATACTGATAATAAAATTGTTGTCTCCATTGCGAAGTGAATAAGTTTGTTCAAGTAATGAGTGAATCAGTAACAACAGAGAAAACGTCGTAGAGCACAGACAATTGTATGTCTGCCAATTTCTTACTCTTCTGATTATTTTGATATACATGATTTGCTAGGTAAGATTGCACGATGGAATATTTAAATTGTTTGACACTCAGATTCTGTATATGTACAGCTAGCTGTTAGGTGACACGAAGAATATGTGCTACTCACAGAGTATAACTGGAGAAAATTGATGGTTGTATCATGGAAAATATTTCAGATATCATTAATCGTGACATATAGTTTACTGCTTCCTTAATCTTATCACGTTTAAGCAGCACGGAAAGAGATTTTTAGAATAACTTAATGCTTAAATAAGCTATGTATTTTCTGGAATTACCAATCATTTACATTTGTCATCGATCAATCATTACTCACTATCTATACTTTTAAATCACCGTTTTTCGTTCCCAAATGTATAAGAAGAAATCATGTTGTGCATCGTAGGACCTTGAAGAATGCACGTAGCAATGATGGTTTGTGTTTTGACTTTATTATGAAGATGATTGATGATAGTTATTTGAAATCTCACAAAGGCTAGCATATGTTATTTGATAAAATACTAACCATTCTCTTCATTCTTCCGTATTTATATATATATAGGTGAAGACTCTCATACATAAGTATCTGTTTTGGAAGAGGAAAATGAAAATACTCAATAATATCGTATTTAATGCATATTATCTTACGAAGAAGTTACAGGAGTAAAACGGAAATCATGATAATTGACTATGCCAACCAGTATATCATTGTTATTATATTTAAGTGATTCACAACTCTTATTCCGGAGAAATTACTATTCTTTACACAGGTTTGACGAAGCAAAAAGTTATCAGTATGCATTAGTTCGAAGCCTCATACTGAAAATTCAACTTTTTCACGTTTTCTCATTTATAATTATTCATAATAAATAGAATATGATTACAATCCACACTTGAATGATCAATCGAGAATTCCAGATTTTTCGGCAAAAAGTTTGAGTGAAACAAAAGAAGTAGAGGTTGTAAAATAAGCACATAATGTGTCTGTAAGCATTCATGGAATAATTCGACCAAGAAAATAAGCGTAACATCTAGATTACTTAATCTTTGTTTGTTCAGTATATAAGAATGCCCAGCAGATGGGTTTCTTGATCTATTGAGTCATTAAAGGATGTACACAAATCTATTAAAGTCTACATGCTCAAGTATTTGGAGATCTAGCCAAACTGGCTTCCTCAATAGGATCTCTGCTCTTCTTACTTTTATTATTTTTGTACATAGGCTGCTGCAGTTTACTTTTTCAAATACATTTCAGAGATTGGAAGCCTACATATTGCCCACTTAATTGACAGAGACGTTACGAGTAACTGATCAGTTATTTGAAGCACCACTCACGTATACTGGGCCACCAAGGGAGGTATAATGAAATCGGACATAAGGCTCTAGGATATGAACATTTTCTGACCCAGATGACTGTGGCACGTTACGGACTACTACAATTGGAATAACTGGCCACGGTTAGATCAGGTTGAATAGAAAACAAGGGTGATAGTAATCTGTGTAATCATCAACTATTGTCTTTGATTTCATACGATTATTTACATCTTAAACTCGAATATTACTTCATGTTTATTTATCCTTACTTGTCTTTATTGAGGCGTATTCTCTATATTAATTTTCAATATCAATAGCATCATAAGGATTTCTATTCCTTCGCTCTCCGTTGCAATAAATTTCTCTATGTTGTACAGATTGTTGAACTGATGTACATTTGTGTTGAACTACACAAACTTCGTAACTGACTAACATACCTTGAAATAATAGTGTATTTTGTTCCATCTATATTATCCTTACATGTTTTTTTTTAAAATCTTATTACTCTATGACTAAGTAGAACGTTAAAGGAAATAAGTAAACTTTCAAAAAGTTCTTTCAAGGTCTTTCATTCTTGTGGAGTCAGTTGGTTGTTATCTTTTTCTGAAAGAAAACAATCAACAGACTTTCAAAGAATTATTAAATTTTTCCATCTACACTCTAATGAAATTAATCAAACAGAATATAATCACAATATTATATTTAGATATTAAAACTAGTTTATCATTTCAAAACAATAAATCGAAATGGTTCATCGAAAAGATTCATTCAAATCATGTAAACATATTTATCTATGAAAAAGTATACCTGAAAGGCTTATACTTTAATCGAAATTACGATTGATTTGAAAAAAAAAGAGATTAGATAAGTGTACATGATAAATATTAAAAAAAAACTTGAGAAACTAGTAACAAAAAATATCAAACATAATAAGATGTAATTTTCATAAGTAATTGACATAGTATGGTATGTAACCAAGCAACAACAATAGTTATTATTCAATCATAACTGAGAATGTTTGACAAATGATAACCATAATAAAATAAGTAGATTATGTTACATTAGATTAGGAGTATTTTTTTCTTTTCTTATTTGATTCGAAACGAACAAAAAGAAACCATCTTATTAAATTAAAACAAATGTGTTTGTGTGTGTGTGTGTAAGTAAGGAAAACAAAAATAAATTTGAAGATCCAACTGAATGTACGATTTTTATGAAAGACCTTTATGACCTGAAAAGAAAACACAAATAAAACATTGGTATATTACGTAATAACATGTTGAAAGTAAGTAAGCTATTCACAAGCTACATAAGACAATATAATCTCCAATAGAGAACAATAACACATAGCGCAGTTACATAGCATATACGTAGACTACTGTTATTACATTGTAGGTGTCCAAAAAGCATTGCTTGTGTATAATGAAATTACAAAGTAAGAAATGTTTGGGTTAGGAATAAAGTATTAGGTAAAAATGGGAAATCAATTGGTGAGGTAGTATATTTACTTCAACTGAGGTGGTTGGGACATATGTTACTTTCGCACAACCACTCCCTTCTTCGACGAGCGACGATGTATGACATAGGTGTAGATTGAAGGAGAGCTAGGGCCGGACAAACCAAGACATCGCATCAGTCCATAATGACACTGACTATTGTAATGAGACATATATAGAGAGCTGTAGATTTCTGCTTGGGGTCCACCAGATTACCGTAACTAATAGTTGGACACTAGAATGGAATGCTTCAAAATTGTTTGCAAATGATCAGATAGATTCACTCCCAGTATTTCCTTAGATTCTAAGTCTATAAATGTTTTTTAATTCACTGCTTTATACTTTCTTCTTAAATTGCGTTTTGGATACCTAATATTTTCTATTATTACTAATACTAGTACCGTCTCTACTACATTGAGATTTACTCTGACAATTTCATACAGACGAGCTAATGGGTTATACGAACTTGTACTCACGTGACAGATTTTACGTTGCGTTTGACTGATTGAAAATAATTACATAGATTTAAGATGATGAATTGCAAAATAGTCGAGATTATTGGAGCGTCGATGATACTGAGGAAAGCTGTAAATTGAGAATATGGCTCGAAAATACAAATTGGAACTCAAGGTCTACAAGAAAATAACGAGTGAATTCATTCACGCTGTTGTGACGAGTTTTGAACTATGTGACCCAACGTATTCGACTGCTAATCGTGGTTTTCGTGTGGAAACCAAAACCAGGTAGTCTATATATACCTACGCCGCTCACACTAAAAACTGAATGATTTCAATAAGGTTAACATTTGTTATTAATTTAACAACACTCAAATGAATATCTATACAAATAGGTAAACGTGAATCTACTGTTCCACTACTTAGTAGTTAAACAATACTGAAGTACCGGTGCTTAAGCAGTAAGAACTATCAATTACAATGTGTTCTGTAGTGGTATTTACATATATCTATGAACGTAATGTAAACTATATTAATTTCAAGGGAATCAATACACAAGATAAATCTACTTAAAAGTATGTAAATTGTGAAACATACTTTTTCACATTGATAGACATTACTTGGAATTGGTTATAACCATTAAGGTTATGGTTTCAAAGCATTCGATGATAATTACGACGATGTGTCCACAGAACAACAATCATCGGATTCCATAACCGATGGCATTACATTGTTAGATTTATCATATGTATTATTTGAAGTATCAGATGAATTTTGTCGAATAGCTGTATACAAGGATGGGAAAAAGAAATATGAGAGAAGTAATTGAATAAATGAATAAATTCATATCATTAACAAATAAATAACTCAATAGATAGAATACTTGGATGATGTTAAAGTATTGGCCAACCGAATCCCCTAGTAATGGTGACAACTTGGACCAATATGCACTCGTGGCATGTCCAATGTTGGTAATGGGTGATTGGTGTTGTGTTCATTTAGAATTGCTGGCGATTTACACATGTTTTACTTTTATTTTCGTGAGAAAACCTAACATCAAGATATGAAGTTTAAAATCATGGAGGACGTAGTCCTTTCACTACTGTGTTACACTCCGACAGCGAAACCAATACGACAACAGGGTATACTAGGAAGTGAATCAATATAAACCTCAATCTTCCTTGGAGTTTATGAACATTATCATATGTATGAGGCAGAAAAGCATATAACTTTATTCAATATGGAGTTTTTCAACAAATCTGTCTTATTAAATAAAATGTATAAGAAGCATACCATATTGTAGAAATGATTTCGAGATAAAAGTGAAGCAGTGAGCCAACGGTTTGCCAAAAAGTTGTCATTAGAAATTGCATTTATTGTGATATGTTAGGAATAACGAATATTCTTATTTCTATTCAGTATTCTGATAGAAATATTGATGAGACTAACTTTATTGACTCTGAGTAGTCAAGCATCAATCTAATTTTGTCACATGAGAATTACGTTACGTTAGGGTGATAAGATGACAAGATAAGAGCTTACTTTTGTGTTGGTTACACTATTTGAGATGGATGGTTTAACTGTGGAGGTTTCAATGATGTTTTAGTAAGAGTTTATTTAGTTCGGTTGACGTATGATTATGTGAATGACTGATGATTTCCATATTCAATATTAATTCTCCTAATGCCGTAGTGTTTAGTTAGTGATATCTAAAGTGGAATCAGTCACATAGATGGATATTTTTGACATTTTTTCTGTACGTATTGATAAATGTGATAATACGGATATGAATTTAATTGATAAAGTGTCAAAATATGCAATCTAGTAAGCTTAAAAAAATCAGAAAATTTCTTGAAATACGGCATTCAAGTTACCTAACATATCGAAGTAGGTACAAATAATCAGTTTTTATGATGAATCAACTAAATGATGATTAAATTAAGAGTAATAGATTTGTCACATATTAAAAGTTAATTTTTCTCAATGAAATTATTAATATTGGCAGTCTGTTAGGTACCATAATGTTCAATAAATGAAATGATATTTAGGTCAATAACTCACCTGAAATAAGTTTACCTCGATTTACCGGTAGTTTTTTTGAAAAGTCTACATTTTCACCATCCATTATACTGTTAGTTTTTCTTAAAGATTTGAAAGCATTTGTCAATTCTGTAAGCATTTCTACACTAGGAGATTGTAAATTATTTTTAGGATTATTTGAAATTGTTACTGATAATCTTTTGACAGGTTCCACTCCTGAATCTTTAGTAAATGTAAATGTTATTTATATAAATCAGAAAGATACATACACAATCAAGACAAGGGTTATGAAAATTATTAATATGTGTTGTATAATATATTAGATATATGAAATGAGTATTTGCAAAATGTTAAAAAGGAATTAAATCCACATTTGAAAAAAGAAATAATCATTTTCCAGTGTATATATATGATGTGGTTATTGGTTAGTGATAAAATAATAATGGTACAATGTGAACAAAGAAAACTTAAATAAAATGGTTTTGAGATGGTGGAGAAGACCTGTAGCTCAGGTGGATGATTTTGATGGAGTTTTGTTCTCTGAGTTGGATGGTTTGGTCGTGGAGCTTTCATCGTTCTTCTGAACGACATCATCAGCACAAACTTCTACGATCAAACCATCCAGCTCAGAGAACAAAACTCCACCAAAATAAAACGGTTTGTATATAATACATGATAATGTAAACTTTGATATATTATAACTTGGCATTTCCTTCACGTTGCTATTTATCCAAATAAATGAATCAGGTTATTTTTCAAATAAATATTAATACTACATATAGTAAAATATCAAGATATTAAGTTATGAAGCAGTAACGATAGATTACTGATGTGAATATACCTTACCTTTTAATTTAACTTTTTAAAAAACTTACGTCAAAGATTTAGTAGACGCTACGGATGGAAGCGTTGAATAAAATAAGAACGTACTCATATAGTGTAAACTATATATCGACAAATGGTTCAAACGTAAATAATCAATTATGTATGAATTTAGAAATAAAGTGATGACTGAGTGATAAAAAACTCTTTTATCAACGAATTAATCCAATTTTTTTCAAGTAGTCAGGGGATATCACTAGACCATACAAAGACATGTGGCTTGAAGTACATCACACGGGCCTGTATTAGTTACGGAGTAGAATTTGAAAACAAACATGTGCGCCATACTTCATCATTTGATTTGTGTGAGGGTTGGAATACTCTCCAAACACCCAAACCGAATCGAGTGATTTCCTTGGGTGAATATTGCATGAGCCTTTGACTTAGAGGATTAATCAACAAGGTAGTGGAGTAACGTCAGGAGATGTAGTCCCATGGTATCCGGTGACCAACAATAGGTTTATATGCCATTTGTTCCCTAACGAACCTGAAGTCTATGTGCTCGATTAGTTTGGAATCAGGGTTTTCCGACTCTCTTAGATGGATCCTTCATATCCACTAACCCAGTTAAAGTGCTGAACATTCGCTTTTTGTCCTCTTAGTTTCGTAAACAACACCCTCGCCACGAGAAGGCAGAGAGTAGGACTTCGCTGTCAATGGCTGTATACACGCGGCCATGTGAGAGCATTTCGAGGGGAAGAGAGGACTCTCCCCATCCCACCCTCGACCATACCAGTGCATTCGGCGGAGTAGAATTTAAAACTTATTTTATTAATTATTATTTTCAGCTCAAGTTTGCTTATCGCTGTCACTGATGTATATATCACAGATGTGAGCAGTTTTCAGATGAGTACAACCATAAAAACAAAATTATTTTCAGTAACATATAAGCGCCATATTTGTGAGCTAAACATCTATTTTCCAATGAATTTACCCCCCACCCAAAAGCTTATGAGATAATAATTTCGATAAAAGAAAGAGGAATCGTAGGACAAAAGCATATAACTTTGTCGTGACATTGAAAAATTAAAGCGTCAGCGTAATCTATGATACGATAATCGAACACTATAACAAATACACAAAGTCAGGTGAATACAAACAAAAAGACCAAATTACAAGAAACGTATATATATTATTAATAAGACTTGTTAATTATATATTACATGTTATATCCTAGGTGAACACTGATTATTACTATGATAAAGAAATGCATGACAGATTTAAAATAAATTCAATTAAACTTAATACAAAATCAATTGAATTAGGATGATAATCTCTCTACCTTTCACTAATTGACAAACAATCATTAATATATTCACTATTTTTCCGACCACAGCTTAATACTTTAAACTTTGTAGGAGAGTAGTTTAGCGATACTTCAACAATATACATTCATAGTGTAAAACGTTTTAAACCAATTTCTCACGATATCAAAAAAAGTTGAAATTTACATTGTACATACAACAAAATGGTTATGGGTGGAACTATATTCCCCCACAGACGCACACACAGCTACACGAGATTCATCAAACCGCAATACACAGAACCACATTTGCATCAATAAAATATTCAGAAGGTCCATGGAAAACGTGAAAACAAACGGAGGAGCTCACATAGATTCGGATCACCACTTTCTCGAGACCAACATGAGATTGGAACTAAAAGAGCACTAAACAGCCGAGCAAACAACATTACAAATGTTTGATACAGTGTTCCTTCGAGATACTGACAAACTCAATTAATTCAAAATAGGTATCAGCAGTGGGTCAGGTCCCAAGACCTACAACATTAACTTAAACAAGAGGAAACTACTATGAATAACAACTGGAAAGGGATCAAGGAAGCACTGGGGAAAAAAACTAAAAAAGACAACCGAAAACACGGTTGGTTTGAGAATACTGTTTGGCAGTCTATGTCCCACGAGCAGTGAGTAATGCATTGATCTTAATCTCATGAAATATTTCAGTAAACCATGTCTTGACACAACGTACATAAAAAGGGGGTCATATGTTAAGGTGAATGCTAAGTAACACCATATTAATTAACAAAAATTTGTTTACTATGCTAAAAAAATGCTTATCAATAAGAGTAAATGCACACTGAAACTAGTGAATAGATTACAGTTACTGAAGGTGATCTTTTTAAAATAAATAATTAAGAAAAGACGTTATTATATTGAGATTGGAATTCGATATATGATATGAGTAAGAATCCATTACAGAGCAATTGAAAATATTTTAACACAAACCCAAAATATATCGTACAACTTTTAAAGGTAATAATTTACGTGCTAATATCAGGCCAAGAGAGGAGCCTGGAATTTCAGGATAGCTTAATATTCTGAATAGAAGTCTAAAATTGAATAAAATCAGAAAAATAATTGAGGCAGAAGAGTATGAAGTCGTTATATTTTGTGTTTTCTCATTAACTGCTTACGACCATTGATGTGTAATAACGTGCAACGCCAAGATATGATATAATGTGTGACAATATCTCAGCATTTAACTGATACCGGGGATATCATCGACAATTCCCAATCATTAAAATCTATCGGTTTGCCGACTCAGTAGCAATTCAGAAACTTAAACTTGATTTATGTCCCCAGATAGGGACAGTCATCCACCACCCTGACAAATTCACAACTTTGATTAATATCATCTGCAAGTATTTTTGTTATCATTATTTTACAAGTGTTTATTTTGTTATGCGGCTTTTGTCGAACTAACTCTTACCTCATCTATGCTAAAATCATACTTTCACTTACCAGTTTTTTACTCAATTCACCGAATTCTCTAAACTTATGTAAACTCAACAAACTTTGTACAATTATTACGTAACCCTTCGATTGTTAGTTCTAGACAATTATTATTCAAATTCTTTCTTTCATCAATGTCGATTACTTCATATCATTTCATATATCGATGTTGCACTTTAATACAGACACGTTTGTGCAGCTGTTGAGAAACCACGAAGTATAATGAATCCACAGTATTCTGCATCGACTGTTGTCATGGCTTTAATCAAATTTGTAAAAAGAACCAATTAGTGAAAATCCAAAAGGAACACAATAAATGACAATAGATAAGTGAAGAGCGGAGGACGATGAGGAAATATAAATCAGAAAAAAATTATCGACTTTGTACTTTGAAAAAATAATAGGGAATAACAAGAAAAAAGATAGCCTGAGGTCTCCTTAGCGTAGAGCAAACTTAACTTTTAGGGACCCTTAGATTAATGAGCCTGTGCCTTTTAATTTTGTATCTGTAGAACGTTACGGTAGGATTAAAAAAAAACAAGATAAACAACCTCATAATGGTCAGGTTATTCAAGCAAATAAGTAAAATTAAGACTAGTGTACGAATTTCGGGGAAGAAAGATATGAAACTTTGGGGCTTGACTTATAAAACAATAATCTCCAAATCCAGCAAAAATAATAAAAGTTTGCCAAAAACAAGGTAAACACATAGTATAAATTTGGAACCGCCAGTATTGCTTACGACCTGACAACAGAAAACGGAACAAAAACAATCAATATCAGAGCAGAAGTGGTAGTGGTAGAAATAGCATTCATCGTAATGACATGGATTATTCAAACAGAATATGATTCCACAAGAATAAGTTGACGCAGTAAATAAGTAGAACAAGTTTAAGATGTAGTAACACGCGACAGATATGAAACTAACATAGCTACAAATAACAACGAATTAAGACAACGACACAGAAAATAACTCAGTTTAATCTAACAATCAAACCATAACAAAAATTACTAAGCCACAAATGTGGAAAAATCAGTGGTAAAATTAACTTCTTAAAAATGAAAAAAAAATTGATTTTGCAACTAATTACAGCGAAACAAATGATCAGTTATCATTTCGAGAACCACTCATTTCAACAAAGTACCAATCGGACTTACCTGAATCTTTAAGTGATGGATCCGAATAATTAGCACGCATAGTGATGTTCCATTGTGAAGACGATGGAGCTGGTGGGGGAGGTGATGGTGGAGGAGGTGGCGGTGGTATTACAGAACGACATTCTTTCTTAGATTCCTAAGAGCAGTGAGAGAAAGTATCAACTACAATTACGTCATGTGAATAAAAATGACAAATTAAACTCAAGCACAACATCATCCGATTAAACTGATCAGACATTTGTGTATACATTGCATCACATTAGTATCAGTACTAGGAAACGTTCTCAACACAGTGTTGTTGAACCCGAGTAGACGCCCAACAGGCTGCATTTCATCAGGTTCGATGGCATACCGACCAAATCGCGGCACTACAGATCACCGTTGAACAATCAATTAAATGGAACACATCGATTAACATCAACTTCCCCGACTATGATAAATCAATTAACGGTGTAGATAGGAGAACCTTATAAAACTTTCTTTGACATTGTGGTGTACCTGAGAAGATCTTCAACATAAGGAGTTTTAACGATAAACTACACTATAAGCTCGTGCATAGAGGGTAGCCCACAGATCCATTCCAAGTGAAGACGGCTGTCGGACAGAACAGCTTATTATCATCTTTTCATTTTCTTCTGGTGGTTGACTCGATTTACACCTGAGGGAAAACATGGAATAAAATGGACAGCTCGGAGTCAACTACACGAGTTTGGAGATGACCCGCTCTTCTATATCTCATACATAAACTCACCAAAATCATTCAAATAAAAACACAACACTCCTTAGAATATATGTTTTTCTAAGCAATATCCATAAACAAACCTTCTTTGTAATGGACGTCATTGTGGTAGATGGTTTACACTCATGAGAATTTGAATGATTGTTAACAACATCGACAACACTTGGCTTTGTAACTATTTCTTGAGAATGATTTTTGGGCGTTGAGCCTTTATTTGATTTGCGGCCTAGTAAAGCACATAAATAATAAAGGTTACAAACCATTATAACACAAATAATTTAAACATACTATAATATTCTACATACAAAGATGTATTTCAGCAGAAACATGATTTTCATCGAATATGTAGTGGAGATTGACCAGTAATACTGATCAAAAAAATAAGTGTACATCAGTTGTTGACAAAGCATGTGTGCCCTTTACCACAAAAACTACATACATAATATATGTTCACATCACAAAGCGTTTAAATAAATTAACTTTATTTTAGCGTCTTCAACAATCTTAACTATTCCATTACTGGACCTACGATAAACCAGTTGGAAAACAAGTTTTCACTTTGGACATTCGTCCATGAAAGTTCAGACGAAAAAGGAGCTAGCAAGTAGAGCACATAACTGACAAAGTAATCACTTTAAGTCCGAGTTCACTGTAGATTCGACTTGACCAATAGCATTCAAGTAACGAGATTTTAATAGGGAAGTATAATTTTGGCACGCACTTAGATATCGGTTCTAATGCTGAAAACCATCTACTTCAGAGAAACACGACCATAACAGCAATAATTTACGTATCCTTAGAGCTTCATACTTGCCAATCACTATCATCGCCCACTGAAATTTATGGTGGTAATTTTAGAACAGACTTACACTAGGTAATCACCAATACTTAATCCGTTGAAATAAATACGAAAGATATCGGTTGTGCATGATACGAATTCAGAAAATTGCTGCACTGAGCCAGATATCATTGTTTAAAATGAACGGACCGGATGAAATCTACAATATTTTAGTCTGGATAGATGTACCAAGATTCATATGTTGAAAAATAACACACAGAATTGACAAAGTTGTTTACCTTCTTTTATGAACTCATCATCTAGGCGACTACCCGTTTTAAGCAAGTGCGAATCAGATTTACGAGAGTCTTTATGTGTTGACTTGGGCATGTTTGGATCATTACCATTAACAGGTTTATTGAAACTTGAAAGTATTTGTGGTGGTGGCGGTGGTGGTGGTGGTGGTGGTGGTGGTGGTGGTGGTGCAGGAGAACGATATCTTTTCGAGGATTCCTAAGAGCAGTGAGAGAAAGTATCAACTACAATCACGTCATATGAATAAAAATGACAAATTAAACTCAAGATCAACATCATCCAATTAGACTGATCACTAAGTCAGTCAGCTACAACGTAGGACCAGGCACATGTGTGCATCGATCCAGGTTGCCTTACCGCATTAGCACAGCAAGATGAACACCGGATTCATATGAGTGGTTCAGTCAAAGGTGTTAATATATAAGAGAAAGATTGCATATAGAGATATAGTATAGGAAGAAAGAATTAGTTAGTAGAAAAAAAGATGTGAAGTGATTTTAATCTCTTAGTTTAAGGGAAGACAGGGAGTGTATACACCGACACCATTGTGATCGATTCTGAGTCATGTCACCAAGAGTCTCCAACCATTGGTTACGAAAGTCACGCGGACCCCAACCAAGTAGTCTGCATCTACCAACATGGCTCAGACTAGAAGTTAGTGACTTCAAGCACTGATGCCACGTTTTGGATTGGCCGCCCCTTTTTTTCTTCCAACCATCTCCAACACCGGTTAGCATTGCACGTCGTGGTAATCGGTGTTCAGACATACGTAACACGTGGCCTAACCATCTCAGTCGATGAAGATTCACAACCTCATCAACTGATTTACCATCATTACCTAATACACTGCGTTTAACCTCACTATTACTTACCCAGTGATACCAGCAATATTTCTAAGGCATCTGTGGTCAAATACTAGTAGCTTGCGAGTGTCTTCTACTCTTAATGGCCATGTTTCGCTACCGTAAAGCAAAACAGAACGGACTGCCGCGCAGTATACTCGTCCTTTTATTGATAGACGGATATCTCGCCTTCGCCACAGGTGACGTAAGTTGGCAAAAGCCAAACGAGCTTTTCGAATCCGTGCTGAGATTTCGTCCGATACCAACCCATTAGGGCTGATCAGACTTCCAAGATAAGTGAAGTTGTCAACGCGTTCGACTACTTCACTCCCTATCCTTAGTTCAGGTGTTAACGCAGACCAGTCCTGAAGCAACAACTTGCATTTCGAGGGAGAGAAGCGCATTCCAAACATTCTGGCATTGTTGCTCAGTGCTACCAGAAGACTTTGCATTTTGTCAGCGTCTTCACCAAACAGGACTATGTCATCTGCGTATTCTAAGTCGATAAGTGGACCTGCTGGAAAGAGATCAATACCCGAGAACTCAGTCGACGAGAAAGTTATTTCCATCAGTAGGTCTATGATGAAGTTAAAAAAGAAATGGGGAAAGTGGACAGCCTTGACGGACACCACTTGAGGTTGCAAAAGCAGATGACAGTTCGTCATAAGCTCTGACTCGACTGGTAGTGTTCGAGTAAAGAGCCTTCACAAGGTTTATGTACTTCTGAGGTACGCCTTTCAATGACAGACACTGCCACAGAACCTCGCGGTCTACCGAGTCAAATGCTGCTTTTAAGTCAAGAAAGACCACCATCGTCGGACGCCGATAAGTGTGCCTGTGTTCTAGAACCTGACGAATGGTGAATATGTGGTCGATGCAGCCACGACCAGGTCTGAAACTAGCTTGGTTTTCTCGTGTTTGCAGTTCACGAGTCTTAGTTAGGCGTCTGATAATTATCGAGGCTAGTATTTTAGATATTATATTAGTTAAACTAATCCCTCTGTGGTTGTCACAGGATGATTTTGACCCTTTCTTATATATTGGGACGATAAGTGATTGTGACCAGTCAGATGGAATAACGTCTAACTCCCAGATCTTAGCTAAAATTAGTCAACCTAATCGCTAAAATTGGACCACCATCCTTAAAGACTTCTGGAGCCAATCCATCTGGACAAGCTGCCCTTCCTCGTTTCAGATTAACTATAGCCTCTTGAACTTCAGCTAGAGTTGGGGGACCTACTTCAATGTTCCATTCACACTGTCTGGGAATAGAGGGTAGTAGCTGAAGAGTAGCTGAAGGCCAGCCGAACTGCTCTCTAAAATGTTCCGCCCATCGTTCTAAACGTCTGGACTGGGAGCAGATGAGAGTATCGTCTTTTTCTGAAATAATCTCACTTACACTTGACTTATTAGTTCCAGTTTCTTTTATTAGTCTGTAAAGCTGTCTTGTGTTCCCTATAGCCGCTGCCTTTTCCATCTCTTTTGCTTTCGTTACCCACCACTGCTCACGGTCGTTTCTTAGACTTTTTCTTAACCTAGATCTGATTTCTTTACGCTCTTCATCATGTTCAGAACCTGATGGGACGAGTTTGGGAGAATTCATCAGTGTGATAGACCTTGAAGAAATCCACGGGTTCTTTGTAACTCTGTGGTTTAAGTCTCTAATAGATGTCACTGCTGTTTCCACAGCTGATTGTATGCCTTTCCAAGCAACATCTGGGTCAGCTTCGTCTTCAGAACTACCTAAGTGTGATCTCAGTCGTTCCTGGAACCTACTTTTGGTTTTCTCGTTACTCAACTCAGTTCTAATGGGTCTTTTTAATGTAGCTTTTTTGCGTCCGGTGAGGCGCAAGCAGATGCGTGCCCGTATTAGGGCATGGTCGGAGTCCAAGCAGGTACTCCAGAATGAGCGACAATCTTCTACCGACGCTCTCCAACGATGACTGATGGCAATATGGTCTATTTGAATCCATCGTTGGTTTGATGTAGGAGGTCGCCATGTTAGACGATGTCTCTCCTTATGCTTGAAATTTGTGTTTGCTAAAAACAAGCGATTGTCTGAGCACAGTTGCAGCAGACGGTAACCATTATCTGTTCGCTGTGCCGGAATACTAAAATATCCACCTAAATGCCTTTCTGTTTGGTTTAAACTGCCTATCTGAGCATTAAAGTCACCCCCTATGAGTACTATGTCTGAGCGTCTAGCTTTCTGAAGAAGTTTGGACAGCTTTCTGTAAAATTCATCTTTCACTTCATCTGAGTTGCAGAAACGACAAAAAGGCAACGACGTGTGTCCCTATCCTTCCGAGTTCTTATGTAGCCGTTTAGCCGAACAGCACATAGACGACTGTTGACGGGGATCCACTCTAGCAGTACTTGTTCGGCCCTCATGCTTAGTGCTATGCCTACACCTGCCAGTCCACGAGAACTGGCCACCGGGTCACCAGATACACGGAGGGTGTATCTCGTTGGCTCTCCGTTTTGCCGAGGTGAGGTCAAGTGAATAACCACACTAGAATTCTGTATGCGCGTTTCGGAGACACAGCACACATCAATGGTAAGAAACTATAGGGTTTTAACCAAGGAAGCCTGCTGACCGATTTGACATAGAGTGCGTACGTTGAAGGCTCCAATGTGTAGTTTGGAGCGAGGTTTCAGTAGACTTGGGACAGTGTTTGGAGCACTAGAATCGTTGGCTATGGTGACACTTGAGGAGGAAGCCGAGAGAAAAAACTTAGAGTTGAAAGTCGATGTAGGAGAAATAATAGGAATTGAAGAGGGAGGTTGATTATGAATACAGTGGTCTTGAGAGCTATTAGAGGTATGAGGGCAGTTATCACTTCCCGGTTGTCCACACCGTGGAAGGGTTCTTCTGGAGGTACCTGAAAAGGAATTCGGATTAGAGGTGGTCTTAGTGACCCGGGAGCGTGACCGCAGTGCCCAAGGGACAACTGCTTGAGGTCGGCAATAAACGATATTTTTGTGAGTAATTTTTGTGTCAGCTCCGTACTTGTTGATACATTACCACCAGAGGCGGATATGTGTGGGATAAGGCGAGGTGTGCATTTTTAGGGTCGACCTTTTCTAACTCCACCCTCCTTTTCTGGGAGTGGCAGCACCGTTGTTATGCTGGTTGTTGGAAGGAAACACCTTATGGCGGTCACACCTCTGTATAGTCAGCAGTACGACTTCGCCCTCGGACCTTGTGTTTACTACTTTAATCTTACCGCTCTTCAACCGACTCGTCTGACGTGGTAGGACATTGAGGAACGATTGTTCCAGCTAGTATAGCCCGATTGCTTCATCACGATAGGCAAGCCTGATCACCACATCAAGGTAGCAACAACGGTCGGGAGACTGATCAGACATTTGTGTATACATTGCATACATACCAAAAACATTGATTTTCCACATCCACATGGACAAGACACAATGAAACAGTCACAAATGGAATCCGCTCACCATAGAAATACAAAACCACAATATTACACTTATTAAACACGGCTCGATGTTTTAAACGAGCTAGTCAAAACACTAATGTGTGGGTAGAAAGGAATCTAAGGTCATTGTGACTGAAAGAAAAACCAACACACACAGTACAGCATCCACAAAAGATAAATAACAAATCGTATGATGGTTTTCGAAATAACACTGATCACTGTTATTAGTCTATTCTATAGATCAGAATCAATGGTAAATATATTTATTTTATGAACAAGTAGGACATAAATTATTTGAAAATATTGGCTTCAGTCTGTCTGGTGCAAACTCAGTGTTCAGAAGACCATTTATAACTCCGCCTTCAGCACTTCTAGGTTCACTGCTAGTCCCAAACTCGCATAAGGATGCAAGTTTGAGCATGGGTTTATTAAACCTTTTTGAATAATAGCTAATCAAAAAAATCATTTCTATCATTCAAACTATCTCCTGTGAGTTGAAGGACAGTAATTCAGAAGAGTTACGACGACCACAAGTGGAAGACGAGATTTTCCAGAAGCCATGACTCCTATGCCTTTTCTGACAACCAATGCGACAATTAATATAGGTACATGGAATATCCAAACAGTGGAAGAGATCGGGAGGACCAGTGAAATAGCTCCTGAAATCAGGAGATAAAACTTGGTGGTGTTCGGAACAAGTGAACCCACTGCAGACAGAAAAGATTACCTTCAAGAGAGTAGCTATTGTACTCTAGTGATGAGGGAGAAAATATGTGGCATACACAGTTGTACTAATGATTTTCATAGAAATACGAGCACTCATGAGATGGGAATCTCATAGACCTAGGATCATCAAAAGATACTTCAAAACACAGAAGGGGGATCCTAATGAATGTTATCCAGTGCTATGCGCCCATCAATCATAGCAACGAAGACCATAAAGAACAGTATTATGGGAGGCTCTAGTCGATCGTAGATAGGTGCTCACTAAAAGACCTGACAGTCTAGATGTGAGACCTAAACCCCAAGGTTGGGATGGACAACATCAGGCATGGACATATCATGGGACGACATGGACTAGGAGAAAAAGGAACGAAAATTGTGAGACGTTTGCAAATTCATATGCATTCAACAAAATGGTTATGGGTGGAACTATATTCCCCCACAAACGCATACACATAGCTACACGAGTTTCATCGAACCGCAATACACAGAACCACATTTGCATCAATAAAATATTCAGAAGGTCCATGGAAAACGTGAAAACAAACGGAGGAGCTCACATAGATTCGGATCACCACTTTCTCAAGACCAACATGAGATTGGAACTAAAATAGCACTGAACAGCCGAGCAAACAACATTACAAATGTTTGATACAGTCTTCCTTCGAGATACTGACAAACTCAATTAATTCAAAATAGGTATCAGCAGTGGGTCAGGTCCCAAGACCTACAACATTAACTTAAACAAGAGGAAACTACTATGAACAACAACTGGAAAGGGATTGAGGAATCATCAACTTCAACATGACTGGAGCTGCTGGGTTGCAAGTAGCACCGTCATAAACAGTAGATCTCTATTGATATCCTGAACAAAAGTAAAGGATGGAAAGAAGGAAGAACAAGAAAACAGTAATTACGAACAGCTGAACAAGAGCAGAGAAAGCCAAGGCACAAGAAGAATACACCGAAGCAAACAAGCGAGTGAACAGAAGCGGAAATATGTGGAACGCCAAGCGATGATAGCGGAAAAAGTTGCAAGAGAAAGAAATATGACACAGCTATATGGTACAAAGAATAATCTACCAAGAGGATATAGTAAAACACAGTGTCCAATCAAGTACAAGGAAAGTAAACCACACACCGAGATTTAAGAACAGACGAACAGGTGGATAGAACACTGTGAAGATCTGTTGAATAAGCTAGCTTCACTAAATCTACTGGACATAAAAACAGCACACACAGACCTTCCTCACAGCTGTCATTCTACAAACAATCGTAAAAATCAACATGGCCATCAGACAAATCAAGAGGTGGAAAGCAGTGGGACCCGACAATATACCAGAAGAAGCACTGAAGTCGGACACAGAAGCAACAACAAAGAAGCTCCACGTTCTATTCAGGAAAAATTTGGCGAGAGAACAGTTGCCGACAGACAATAGAGAGGGATATCTCATCATGATACCAAGGAAAGAAAATCTTAGCAAGTGTGAGAACTATACAGGCATCACATTACTATCAGTACTAGGAAACGTTCTCAACACAGTGTTGTTGAACCCGAGTAGACGCCCAACAGGCTGCATTTCATCAGGTTCGATGGCATACCGACCAAATCGCGGCACTACAGATCACCGTTGAACAATCAATTAAATGGAACACATCGATTAACATCAACTTCCCCGACTATGATAAATCAATTAACGGTGTAGATAGGAGAACCTTATAAAACTTTCTTTGACATTGTGGTGTACCTGAGAAGATCTTCAACATAAGGAGTTTTAACGATAAACTACACTATAAGCTCGTGCATAGAGGGTAGCCCACAGATCCATTCCAAGTGAAGACGGCTGTCGGACAGAACAGCTTATTATCATCTTTTCATTTTCTTCTGGTGGTTGACTCGATTTACACCTGAGGGAAAACATGGAATAAAATGGACAGCTCGGAGTCAACTACACGAGTTTGGAGATGACCCGCTCTTCTATATCTCATACATAAACTCACCAAAATCATTCAAATAAAAACACAACACTCCTTAGAATATATGTTTTTCTAAGCAATATCCATAAACAAACCTTCTTTGTAATGGACGTCATTGTGGTAGATGGTTTACACTCATGAGAATTTGAATGATTGTTAACAACATCGACAACACTTGGCTTTGTAACTATTTCTTGAGAATGATTTTTGGGCGTTGAGCCTTTATTTGATTTGCGGCCTAGTAAAGCACATAAATAATAAAGGTTACAAACCATTATAACACAAATAATTTAAACATACTATAATATTCTACATACAAAGATGTATTTCAGCAGAAACATGATTTTCATCGAATATGTAGTGGAGATTGACCAGTAATACTGATCAAAAAAATAAGTGTACATCAGTTGTTGACAAAGCATGTGTGCCCTTTACCACAAAAACTACATACATAATATATGTTCACATCACAAAGCGTTTAAATAAATTAACTTTATTTTAGCGTCTTCAACAATCTTAACTATTCCATTACTGGACCTACGATAAACCAGTTGGAAAACAAGTTTTCACTTTGGACATTCGTCCATGAAAGTTCAGACGAAAAAGGAGCTAGCAATTAGAGCACATAACTGACAAAGTAATCACTTTAAGTCCGAGTTCACTGTAGATTCGACTTGACCAATAGCATTCAAGTAACGAGATTTTAATAGGGAAGTATAATTTTGGCACGCACTTAGATATCGGTTCTAATGCTGAAAACCATCTACTTCAGAGAAACACGACCATAACAGCAATAATTTACGTATCCTTAGAGCTTCATACTTGCCAATCACTATCATCGCCCACTGAAATTTATGGGACATTTATGGTGGTAATTTTAGAACAGACTTACACTAGGTAATCACCAATACTTAATCCGTTGAAATAAATACGAAAGATATCGGTTGTGCATGATACGAATTCAGAAAATTGCTGCACTGAGCCAGATATCATTGTTTAAAATGAACGGACCGGATGAAATCTACAATATTTTAGTCTGGATAGATGTACCAAGATTCATATGTTGAAAAATAACACACAGAATTGACAAAGTTGTTTACCTTCTTTTATGAACTCATCATCTAGGCGACTACCCGTTTTAAGCAAGTGCGAATCAGATTTACGAGAGTCTTTATGTGTTGACTTGGGCATGTTTGGATCATTACCATTAACAGGTTTATTGAAACTTGAAAGTATTTGTGGTGGTGGCGGTGGTGGTGGTGGTGGTGGTGGTGGTGGTGGTGGTGGTGCAGGAGAACGATATCTTTTCGAGGATTCCTAAGAGCAGTGAGAGAAAGTATCAACTACAATCACGTCATATGAATAAAAATGACAAATTAAACTCAAGATCAACATCATCCAATTAGACTGATCAGGCATTATGTTGACATTACATACATTCCAAAAACATTGAGTTTCCACATCCACACGGAAAAGACGCAACGAAACAGTCACAAATGGAATCCGCTCACCATAGAAATACAAAACCATAATAATACATTTGTTAAAGGCAACTCAGTATTTTAAACGAGTTAGTCAAAACGCTAATGCGTGCGTAGAAAGGAATCTAAGGTCATTGTGACTGAAAAAATAAACACAGTATAGAGTTCACAAACGATGAGTAAAAATTCGTACTATATGTTCCGACCTAGAGTTGTTTTTTTTATAATTGGCGGTCTATTTAAAAGAATGTAACTACTAGGAGGTAGTAATTAAGTTTGAAGTTGTTATATTTGTTGATTATACTTGTTTAATTTTGTGATAATTAAAATTCTGCTTCTTTATTAAGATACTCATTTATCAGTGGTAAGTGCTACACAGTTTAATTTACTCAAAATGTAGCTGCTGTTTATTGTAAACAAAAGAACTTTTGAAATGTAGTTTTTGATGTATTTCTAGTGTTAGATAAATATTTGTTCTGTGTACCTGTCTTTTTTCTTGTATTGTATCATATCAGTTTTGTTTATTGATAGCATAAAATGAATAATGAATATGTTGGAATTATAGAACAGTAAGACAAAAATTGTCTGAAATTATTGGCTTCATACTATCTGGCTCATATTCAATATCTAGTAGATCATTTTTGTTAAGATAAAAACTATTCAACGCTCTCTGATTTACTGTCTTATACATCTTTAACTGAATTCATCACAATTATGTTTATGGATTATTGATCAGGTTAAATATTTAAACGATTGTAGTGGATGCAGGAATATTCCTACACCTGAATTAATAGGTATAACCGATGCTGGTACAAAAAGCATTACATTTCTGACAAGTTACATCCTTTTGTTTTGTATTATCACTAAAGGGGCTGGAATCTCTTGACCACGGGCTTTGTATTTACCAAGATTTTTCAAGAAGCGCTTCTGAAACGTTTAGAAAAATTATGTCCGCCTAGATGATTCTCGATACATCGCTTAGTGCTCCAGTCATTTATTATTAGTTAGTTATTTAGTTCACGAACTGAGCTGCTTGGTCTTGGAGTAATCACTTTCCCAGTGCTTGTAAAAATTAATTAACCGAGGAAGCAATGTTTTTCGTAAGTGAACCAAGATATGCCCACGTTTCTAATTTAATATTATATCAACTTGGTTTTGACGTAGTTTGTTGAATACAGCTGCGTTTATATGTCTTCTAAATTAAAGAAATACTCTCCTCGAAATGTATATATTGGCATGACAAAAATTCATGAGACAAAATACAAACACGCAAACCTTCTTTGTATTTGAATTCACCATGGTAGACGATTTACGCTTGTGCATATTTGATTTATCTTTCACAATAAATGATTTACTCCGTAATTCTTGAGAGCAATTACTAATTGAGTCTCTATTTGCCTGAGATACTAATAAAAAATAGGAATAATACAATAAGTGAAAATCAATTCAGTATGAATTGTCTATAGTAAGTTTAGAGCAGTGATACCACAGTGAACAATGAATCACTTGAATAACTTTATAAAGTTTAAAAATGAGTGATATGTATTACTGTAGACTAAATTCACTGATTAATAACCACTTACATTTCATTGGTTATAAATTAGCATTCCTAAAACTACTTTGTAAAATTCTAAATGATTAAAATATTAGATGTTGGATTAATCCCAAAGATCATTCAGTGGATCTCACCCACACACGAATTAGATAACAAATACTAAATGTTCAATGCTTTTTAAAACAAATTACCTCAGTAACAAAGAAGTAATCAACCTTTCACGACGAATTCTTAGACTAATTTATTACCTATTTATTTGTCTGATTTATCTTTTTCTGTGTAATTAACAATATGATAACTGTTTAACAATAACTTGAAGTACTGTTCAGTTATTAGATATCATTACCAAGGTTTAACTTGATAATTTTGAATAAATCGAGCATTGGGTAGATTGTTGCAAATAAGTTAATATATTCGCAATGTCCCAAAGAGTAGAAAAATGATATTTTCTGACGTTTCTAGACTTAGTGTAAGCCACTTCTTCGGAGAATAAACAACCAAATTAAAATTCTTGTTGTTCCGTTGTACTATTTAAACTTGGATTTATTTCGATTTTGTTGTTTATTCTTTGAAGAAGCGGCTTACACTAAGTCACGAAACATCAGAAAATCTAATTTTTCTACCCACTGTGATATTACAAATATCTTATTTACTGTTCAGTTATATTTTATTTTTCTATTTACAGAAATAATATAAGAAAATACAGAATTGACCAGCCCAAAAATGATCAACAGAGACTAGAACTTACCAACAACTGAATTTCGCTTATCGTCCAATCTTTTATTATCATCTTTCTTACTTGGCAGTGTTACGCAACTAGAAGACTGTACCTTGTCAGGTACATCGGCAAAAGGTGATAAATGTCGATGAATTATTTGTTGTTTAGCAGGTACACTTGGTGCTGGACGCCTTTTATGCTTATTTTCAGTAGAGATCTTAGTTAACAATAACAACACAGAGAAGATTATAAATTAATTAAACAGCTATTAGGCCTAGAAAAATTATAAAGTATTGTACATAAAGCTTGCAATTCAACTATATTTATTACTAACTTTTACCATATATTCATGTTAAAATTATTTATCAGAAAATTTATTTCAAACCAACTCAATTAATAAGCACTTGATCATGACTTAGTATATGATAGTTCAAATGGCTGCACAGTTAGGAGACAGCTATCATTACAGACAAAAATACCAGGGAAACCTGAATGTTGATGATTTACAATTCGATGTAATGTTGTAATTATGGTTTGTTGAGATGTTTAAAACAAGGACAGATATCTAGTGGCTACTCGGTTCGGGTAATTCATTAGATGATGTTAGTCTATGATGAACATGTTAAAAATGATAAAATTGTGAATAAAAGCCAAAGTGAGCTATTATGATTATTACTAGTAATTTCTTCGCTTCATATGATCCATTGTAAAAAGAATTCTGTTAATTATTAACGCATAATTAACGATAACATTTATCCCTGTTCTTCAGTTAAAATACACACAGATTTCCAGATAACCTTATGTAATTAATAATAAATTAACTATTTTTCAACTTTTCACACTATCATAATTCCTATTATTACGGCCCATCCACCCTTTATTGAGTAGTATTCCTGGACAATACTTCACTCGACAAGTCTCTAAATCAGAACACGGTTGAATAGGAACGTAATTATATCCCAAATAACAAGGTTGAATAGAAGTAGGAATCCCAACAAGATAAACGTCAGAATATTTATAATTTTCACATGAGAAGATTCTTCTCCAAGTCTCCGCTAGCGCTGATTGCTCAAGAAATAGCCGACCAGAGTGCCTCAACACAATGCTGCACGGAATATGCTTCAATTCAATCTATATACCGCTAACACAAACTTAGTCTCTTGTAAAATAATATTCTGGTGTACTATTATTATTATTACTACTACAGATATTATAAAAATAAATTTTGTTTACTAGAGAGTACTCTGACCTAAAATGTTAATAGTCTAGAAATCATTATCAGAAATGGGTTTTGTGGAGATTGTAGTAGTTTAACAGTTGAATTCATGAGTGGATTAAAACCAGACCACCTTGGAAAACCTGGAAGCACTGCATGGCGGTTTCGTCCTAGTAGGAGACTCCTCAGCGATGAGCATCCACGACCCCGCTTGTGGGATCCGAACTCAGGACCCCTGATCCAGCGTGCCAACGCTTAACCTCTAGACCACTGAGACATCATCCAACAGTGTAAATGTCTAACTTCAACCAATCCGCGAAATTGCGCCACCATGGATGCGCACTTCTGAGGAGTCCCATACTAGGACGAAAAGGTCGTCCAGCGCTTCCAGGTTTTCCAAGATGGTCTAGCTTTAATGGACTCGTGAAGTCTAGAAATTATCTTTAAACAACAATGTGACGTTAATTAATTACAAAAAAGAAAACAGTGGTCTTCTAGGTTGAAACATACATTTAGAGTTTTCAAATCACTATATCAGAGGCGAAAGATGTAAAAACTTGGGAATGTATGTCAGTAGTCAATGAATTTATCCCATTACCATGCTGCAAATCGCTGGTTAGTGATATGTAACACAAACCTAAACAAATTCACTCGTTGAAAATCCAGGACTCTCCAAAAGACTGGCTACTAACATAACTTCTTTAATACTAAGTCATTTATGTTATCCACTAATTCAATATAAATGATGGAACTCAAAAGGTAATTGAAATGGCCATTTTAAAGAATAGTTAAACAAAATTCTTACTTCCACTTCCAAATTAGATATCAGAGAGTTATCATTTTGACCCTTTTTGTGTGACTTTGAGTTCTTGCTAGATTTAACTTCTCGTTCTGCAAGATAAAAGATTTAAAAAATCATAACAGACAGACACCAAGATATTAATATAGGAAGTGATTTGTAAGTTTTGACAATTTTTAATAGCTGAAAATTCATACGATTGGAGAAATTACATCAAGCGGCTTTCTCATCTATTTGTTTACAAACAAGCGTGAAAGTAGCCGTCAAGCAGCGATTTAGTTGGGCGAGCCTAACTGTTTAAATATCACTGCCTAATTTTTTAAACCATATTTCTTATGTTTAGCCTTGTATCGGAACAGTCATTAATATTTTCACCGTTCTTGCCATTCCAGTGATATTCTTTCGCATAGCTCTTTATTCAGTAGCCACATAGAACTTTGGTTGTTCCTTGAAGATAAGCTAAGAGTTAACTATCCAAACTTCATTTCTCACACTTAAACTACCATTGTTTTTCATGTTATTTTCCATACCATGCTTCCCATTTTGTCTGTTTTCTCTAGCTGCATTGATGCAAGAGGAGGAAACTTGGAGTGACGCAAACCCATCCCAGGTCCTACATAGATAACGACTAATTGACTGACTGATTACTTAAAGATAAGATCAAATAATTTTAGTTTTTCTAAGTAATCAGCCTTTGACGACCACGTAAAGTGACTACTTATTGAGAGAACAATAACTCATGTTCAAAATTAACAGTCTCGGAGACCAAATATTTCGACACTCCTGCGAATGTGGCAAAATGGTGAAATAAAGTAGATTTAAACGTAATACATGCTATTGGACAGTAACCATGTCCTAAAAAGAATAGCAAACCACTCGACCATTGGTTGATTAGTGATACTATTATAACTATGTAGTCTCAAGTGGTATATTACAATTGTTTGACACTCACTATAACCGAACTACAAAAAGACTCTTGAAACAAATATTTCAGTGAAATTTTTAATCCTTAAAATAGCTGCTAGGTTCTACGTTGTTTATGACTGACCTTAGAACATAGTCACCAAGGCAATAATAAAAAGGCTGTTTCAGAATTAAGAAAGAATAAATAAATGATTAAAGAGCTATTTCGTAAACCTGAAATTTAGCTAGTTTTGTAACCACATGACTACATTTCAGAATTAAAAGATCATGCAACCAAGGATTTTAATCATTATGAGACCATGATCTTTCCAGTAAAGACAGGAAGAATTAAGCGCCAATTTAAATAGCCCTTGATGGTCGTTCTGAGCAACTCTGGCTGGCGGGTTATCGAAAGCTATCGGTTTTATTTATATCACGTTTGTTACATCTATACCAACTTTGCAGAAGCTAGTAACAAGATAATAAATGGGTTATTATATAGAAATCCAAACCGAGTTACCAACCTTTAAGTTCAATTTGGCCTGCATTTTGATTTAAGAATGTATCTTTTGGATCCAAAATCGTTCCCCTTTGGGGATCAGTAATGTAGTAGTTGTTTAATTGAACATGACGCTCCGAAGACACCTGAAATGAAAGCAAGGCAAAATCGATGGCGCTAAACATGTATATCGTCAGTAATTGAATACACCACACACCGAATAGTACACGTTAGTCTCTAAAATTGTCAAAAGGTTCAGCCCACTGAAAATTAAAGGAATAAATCGGCAGATTCAGATTACGATATATTTACCGCCTCAGACAAATCATGCCACTTATAGGTCTGGATCGCATTGGTCAATTAGAAATAAAGCATAAACCCCGAGGAAGTTAGACCGGCTTCAGACCTGGTTGTCGATGTACTGAAAGTTTTCGCCGTTCAGTAGGTTTGAAAACACAGGCACCTGTACTAGCAGCCAGTTGTGACCATATTTATTAACCTGAAAAATCAGTAGTCTAAGTCGGTCACCTTTGGTACCGACGCGACATATTTGAGAAACATAAACAGAAGTATGGCATAATACAAATGTGTATCAGTTCTAATCCTTTACGTTTCGTACTGCCATATCTAAAGGAAATTAGAACGACAAGGAGTGGAAACAATGATACTGACGGTGATAAATGATGTAAAAATGGAGATAACAGAATTCAAAGTACAGAACAAATCGGCAAAGCTAAAGAAACAGAAAGTTTAGGCAGCATCGCGCCAAACTACTATGCGAAATTCGACCGAAAAATGCTTACTTTTTGAAGTACTTTACTAATAGGTTGATCTAAATGTCCACGAACGACAATTGTGCAGTCTTCTGGTAAATGCACAGTAATCCGATGTCCCAGCTAATTTTAGAAATGCAGATAAAAAAGCAGTAATGTAGTGCATAAACAAGCATACATTTACAGAACAACAGCTTTGAAGTTTTTTCTTCTACTATACAGTCGTGAGTGTGAACACCGATTACCACGACGTGCAATGCTATCCGGTTTTGGAAATGGTTGGAAGAAAGTTAGGGGCGGCCAAACCAAAACGTGGCATCAGTGCTTGAAGTCACTAACTTCTAGTCTGAGCCATGTTGGTAGATGCAGACTACTTGGTCGGGGTCCGCGTGACTATCGTAACCAATGGTTGGAGACTCTTGGTGACATGGCTCAGAATCGATCACAATGGCGTCGGTGTATACACTCCGTCTTCCCTTAAACTATGAGATTAAAATCGCTTCATATCCTTCTTTCTACGAACCAATTCTTTCTGCTTGTACTATATCTCTATATGCAATCTTTCTCTTATATATTACCACCTTTTACCTAACCACTGTTATGAATCTGGTGTTCATCTTGTTGTGTTGATGCGGTATGGCAACCTGGACCGATGCACATATGTGCCTGGTCCTACGTTGTAGCTGACTGACTGACTGACAGTCGTAAAAACTATTGTATGGCAAGAACGAATAGTGGATAAAACGAAAAACACATAAATGAAATCATTACGACGTATAAATGATTCAGAGGTCAAACTAGTTTTAGGGGATTAAGAAATGAACGGAATTTACGAATTATTATTACAGTAGAATACCCCGTGAGTTAAGATCAAAGAAAAAGCAAGTACTACTTAAAAAACACATCAAACGAAATGGTAGTTGTCTAAAAACTGTAAATGAACACTTTGAAACCAGTTGTTACCATCATTAATAGTGGTATGATTTTGGTAGAGAAAACAGAAACTGCTGACTACTGAATTATGTGATTTAGAGCTGATCTCCAATAACTTTGACACAAAACATGTTTATAAATACTTTTTTCTTTTTGTGTCTACTTAAACCACTGTTCAAAACTTTGTGTCTAGCTAATGAAATAAAATCCGACGAGACCATTAGTAACTCAGTAAACGGAAAAAAAGTTATTTATAACTCACTTCGTTTAAAAATTCTCTCCCCGTTTTTAGGAGTGTAATAGGGTACTTGAACTTCGAGTCAAGGAATGGATACTGATAAAGCTTAGCAGACTTCTTGAAACAGCATTTAGCAATGAGCCTAACCATAGATGGTAGCGTTGTTTGAGTTGCATCAGAATTAACCCAATGGCCAAGCCTACTCCTAGAAGGAGCAGAGAGCCAAAAAATGCCTGAAACTCCAGAAAGGCCCTCGCAAGGAACTAAGAAAGTGTAATCCACCGCTTCTAAGCCACATAATGAACAAAGTCGAACGAGGAAATCAGAACATTGCATGTCAAAGTCCACACCGTAAACGCGAATAAAATCTTCAGTAGCGATACACTCGACGTCGACATACGATCCATTATCACCACAATTCATATAATAAAATCTCGTGGGATCATAATTTTCAAAAACCCGGGAGTTGCTGCAGAATTCTGAACGATCCTTGGAGGACTTCGAGTAGACGATGTTCTTAAGCTTTTCAATTGCATCAGCCAAACCCATATCCTTAGTTAATGTGTAGTATCAAATTTGAAACACTACAATCCTCACAGAAATTCCCAGCAAAATTGACAAGAGTCGCCAGTGGACTAGTAGCAAATGAAATAAATATTTGATTTAGGAATTTATCCCAGATTTTAGTTTATGTTTATAAACTGTCTAATGTTGCCACCTAAAAAAACGTCGACAAAAATAAGAAAATTCACTGTTTCAAAATATAGTACTGTCCAATATATTTATTTTTCAAACTTAGATAAAAGAGAATACACTACGTACAACAGCATTTTTAAAAGTCAATTTTGTGTTGCTGACAAGGACGAGTTTAACACAAACGATGTATTCATATCTAAATATGAGTATTTACTGGAATGTTTTTTAATTACAAAGGTAACAGATCTATAGATTTTCAGTGATATTCAAAGCCCTAGTTACTTCAACTATATGTTTATTCACTTTTATACACTTTATGCATATTCTCATGTTATTCCTCACTATTGCTTCTATTTAAAATGACAAAAGAACGCTTTTGAAAAGCTAAAAGTAAAATTAAGTTGATATGACCTCGCGAGTAGTAACTATTTCAAAGTGAAATGATATGCAGAATGTAAACAAGACAAAACCCCGCCTCTATTTCATTAGGTCACCTGAGAAAAACCGTACTAGTAGAGGTACAAAAAAACAAACTACGATGTCCAAGAAAACTAAACTTTCCGTAATTTGTAGCGAAGTCATATTTGTATAATACGCTTTCAAGTTACAAAGTTAAGAAATACCCAAAATAAACAGTTTTGTTGGTTGTGCACTACCGAGGAGTACCGTAGTGAGACGAAATGGGCGTTCAGTGCTTCCTGTCTTCGAGAGTAAGGATGGGAGAACAATCCACCTATCTCAATCCTGGCAATTTATAGTACCTTAAAGATCCGATCTCTCACTGAATGAATCAGGTGCTGACAGTACGTATTCTCGAAAGGGACATTAATTCACTACGCGGTTTGATAAATGCGTAGCAGCAAATAAATCCCCTAGATAAATGGCTAAACAAGGCTTCGGCACTGACAATGATCTCATTGGTTTTACTGGGCGCACCCTGACCGAAGGCGCTTAGTCACACATCAAAATCAGACCGCGAGTAGGCTCGCCGTGCTACTCATCCTTTTTGACTACCAGCCAGGTCAGATTAAGCGCTCCTCAATACATCGACAATCTTCCAAATATGTGTTCAAGTCCATTTATACCTAAATCTTGATTTACCAGGGTTAACACACTTCAATGAACAAGGTGTTACGGACAAGAGCGTTATCAGACCTTGAAAATCTGTGGCATATTTGATTTCAAGATCGTCGTCAGTGTACATTAAGCCAGTATTAAATCAGTCTGTAATCTGTGATAAAATGACAGAAGTAGGGCGTCACTTCTCATTCTGTCTTTATAAGATAGGCTGAACAGACTACTCACCATATTGATCCTCCTCTATAAAACAAGCGAATAATTGACGACGTCGATATATGACTTGAGAAGTATGAGTAAATTAGTCCGTTTTGAAGCTAAGAAAACCTATGTGTGTTGATATAGTACCAGCCACTACAAAGATACATTGTAAGAAGTAGCACAATAATTTGAAACAGTTTGTTTTCGTTAACAATAAACAACGAGAAATACAGTATCAATTAAGGAGTGAGTGCATAATATGGGAGTGACATACCTATGTAAACAACGAATATGAATATTATAAAAATGCGGACAAAAAAGGGGAAATGTAAGCATGTGATTATGAACAAATTAATTAGCAAACATGCATACATTTATAGCACAATTATCCTAACGAACAATATTCTTTTCAACGATTTCTCACCAAGTTCTACAATTCTATATCCAAATAAACAATCCACAAAATTGGCCAGGTTTAAAGCAGAGTATATCGTTGAAATTATAACATGTGAATTAAGGATTGTTTGTAATGTAAAATCAAATTGTTAATGCTTAGGTGTCTAATATAAGGTACTAACTTGAATAAGCTCATACGTTAAAGGAAATTGTGAGACTAATGTTCAGAATAAATATGAACAACATGGAGTAAGACAAAAAATAGTATATTGACAGATCGGAAATCACATAATATGTACCATGTTATGAATTAGACAAAAATTACTAGATAGAAGTGGATGTTGAATAAATATCTCAAGTGTAATAATAATGATAAAATGATAATAATAATTATAATAATATAGACAATGGTAAGATGTGTGGATAAGTTAGATTTACGATATAAAAATGAACATTGGTTAAATTACGTCACCACGTCATAAAAAATAAAAAATGACTAGTTGGCCAAAGTGAAAGGAGCGGCTGAATATGTTTCTTTTGGATGCAAAGCTCTGGCACTTCAACCGTCTGTAGGATTCCCAGTATGATGGAATTAGGAAGACTGTTGTTAACATGATATATTATTATGAAAGATTGCTCCATGTTGGTCGTATATTCTGTTCGGATTAAATGAGTTTAAATGGAGCTGTTAACAGTTTTACCTGTGCATTTGCTTAACCACACACATACATTTATAACATGTTCACATAAGGGATTCGAAATGGCGTGAAAACAGAGTAATAAATAGTTTATGGGCATGACAGGAATAATTCGTGAGAGTAAGTAGAGTAGAATATTACAGATATTGGCATGTAGTGCAGATAGAATACAGGAATAAAGATTAATTGATTGTAAAATAGTTCCAATAAGCTTCAGTAGAGTAAATAGTGTCGATTAGTTTCGTAGGATAAGAATAATCCAGCCATTAAGTGGTAACTGCATTGATGAATGATATTTTTTGCTGTACTGTAATTGGTACTAATCATAAAATGCGAAGCCAGTGTTATTGTTTTTTGTGTCATAACCAAATGAATGGAGTTATCGGTAAATGTGCATCGGTAGAATGACCAGAGTTAGAGAGTAGTGCCTTCGAAGACGAGATACAAAGAAACGTATTCTTTTTTTGTCATGCCTAGCATTGTTTATGTAGTTAGAGGGATATGTACTCGACTTAGGTTGTTACAAAAGCTTACTAATGCGTGATAAAAATGCCAATACATATGACTATCGATGACGGGCGAGTGAAACTGGCTTTGATGTGATGAATAAGAGTATATCTTTGAAAGACTAGCTGTATGTTGTGATCTACAGTGTGGCAAAGACAGAATTTTAGTTTCAGTAATCAAGCACTGAGTGATGCAGCATGCAGTTTTACATGTGAACACTTAAATAAGATCAACATAATTGTCACTTATTGGCTAGTAATGAAACAACGAATATTTGATGCATGTGTGGACAATAAGGCAAGGATCATCGACTAAACAAAAAGTGGATGAAGCTCGGTTTGTATTATCGTTGAAAAACTGGAGGACAACGATATCTACGTAATAATGCAATGAATGGGCATTAGTTGTATATCGAGACCGTAAATTCGCGTTACAGAGTGTAGGACTCCGAACCTGTGTCTGTAATAGCGTTGTTAGCCGTTGTCAATGATATGGTAGCTGCGATCGTGCTATTTTCAACGTAAACAGGTTCACTCGACTGTTAAGACTGACTATCTGTATACTAGCGTGAGTCGCTAGACCGTCAATTTACTTAACATTTTGTTCGATGTACGTGTAGCTAGTAAAGAAGTTGAAGACAAATGACATTTTATTACCGTATATTCACAAAAGTGAACGATAATGATTAGGTCATTTGTGTGGCAGGTACTTCTGAACATTAAAAAAGCTAAAAAAAACGGGGATGCAGAATAGTATGAATTCAATATATTTCGAGGTTTTATAGAATTCTGGTCTAATTCGTTATTATTACTGCTATAATAATAAAAATAGCTCTGAAATTTCAGATTTTTCATGGTGTGACTGTCTAGTCATTGAGATTATACATGGAAGTCACATCACTGTCCACGGTGACTCATCGTATCATACTGAACACTTTGAAATAACATATTTTGTCTGGGGATGGAATAATAAATTCAATAGGCATCATTTGATAATTTCAAATAAAATGAGCATTGGGTAAGTTATGGCAAATAAAAATAATACATTTGTAACATCCAAATGAGTAGAAGAATGAGATTTTCTGACGTTTCGTAGCTCAGTGTAAGCCACTTCTTCGAAGAACAAATAACCAAATGAAATCAGTCCAAGTTCAAAAAGTACAAAGTGATAAAGCAAGAATATCAAGTGCTGGCAACAAAAATATGTCTGAAAAGGTCACTGTGATGTCATTCCGATCAAGGTGTCTTATATTAAACATGTGTGTCACTAACGACGAGCATCTATTCAAGCAACTACAAAAGAGTGAAATCTCTGCAAACGTCTAGATGTGTGAGTTCGAAAAGGGATTCCTGTAGTTACTAAATCACATAGTAACTTCGCAGTGCATTAAGCCGATTTCAGCAGACGTCGGTGACATCATAGATTGTCCATTATCCGACTCTGAGAAGAACTTACGACGATTTCTCGGGATAGCATGTTAAACGCTTATTCTGAATTATGCAGCAATAATTCAACCGTTGACTAACATGCTCGAACATTCCATCTATCGGCAGAGACGACACAAGCATTCGAAAACGCCAAGAAGACAACAAACAAAGAGACGACGCTGGCTAGACAAAAGATTGAAACAACATTAACTGCCATGACCTGTAACGGTATTAAAAATCATTACACCTGACGTTACTAACGTGAGTCTGCTTTTTTTATTGCAGGAGAACAAAGAGTAAACATACTGGAAGGAGAGGAACAAGCCCTATGTTAGCTGAACCTGCAGAACAATCGGTAAAACTATTTTGTAGTAAATTTCCTTTTTTGTACTCGAACCGCGTCTTTCGATTTTCAAAAATATATCTGTTGTGCCGACACGCCTCGGCATTTACTGATCATGACTGTTGCGTTGTTGTTTCATATTACTCCTGCTTCCAAGTGATTGTTAATATAATGTGCTACAGACTGATGGATCTAAGGAGGCGGTAAGAACCGTTTTACAATCGCTTCCATTTTTTCTCGAAGAGACTGAATCCTACACAAATGATACATAGCACTTTCATAAGAGAATCACCCGCAATTAACTTGACAATAAAACATCAACATATATTGGAAGGTACAAATTTTACTGTGTACACGGGCTACAAATCACTCACAAAATCACTAAGTGCAAAGCAAGATAATTATTCTGCGAGGGAAATTCGACAGTTAGAATTTATTTCCCAGTTCACGTCCAATATACGATATATTGAGAGCCAAGAAAACGAAGTCGCTGACGCACTATCAAGGAGGACGATAAACACGCTTCTTCCAATTGCAATGCATGATCACGGTCCGGTGAAGCTGTTAGAGACGAATAGTGAATTAAGCAAGCTAAGATCCGACGATACATTATCATTTATATTCGAACATGTTCATTTCGGTAGCGCAAAAGTGATATGTGATGTGTCGACAGGCCGACCACGACCATTCGTCATGAGACCATTACTACATAAGGTATTTGGAAGTATGCACAACATATCGTATCCGGGAATAAAAGCGACGGCTTCGTGTGGAAAATCATAGATCGCGATGTGCGTAATTGGACATAGGCATGCATGAAGTTTCAAAACGTCAA